CGTCCTAGAAGAAAAGATCCATCCAGTCGTGCGGCGATGTTGTGGCGTCACCCTCAGGACAGCAGAAACGCTCGTGCCGTCGTCTTTGTTTACTTCGAATACAGAAGTGCTTTCTTAGAATTCGTGCCCTCGAACATCGCCCGGATTTCTTATTTTGCGCAATCCGTGCGGGTGCTCAAGTTCAAGATATTACTGGTGCGTACCAGTAATGCGTAGTTCCCACTCCGGAGTTGGAATGATTCTGGAATCATTCTGCACTTTCGCGATCTTGGATTGGAATAGGAAGGGAACGGCAACGGCGCTGAGGAAAATGGAAAGGAATGGAATTGGATGCTTTTTGCCTGGAATGGAGTGGGAATAGAATAGGCCCGGTTCTCGTGCGAGCTGTGTCGATTTCAATATAGGGCCTACGGGCTGATGGCGCAATTTGCTAGCGCATTGCAACAGGCTGTTGAAACAGCATCGTTGCACTGGAGGTGACTGACGGCTTGATTATCTCACTGGCTCATGAAGAAACTAAAACTGAATAGTTGTAGACGGACAAGCTGTTGTTGTTCCTGGTTCCCCGAGACGCAGCAAAGCGGCTGTCTTAATCAAACCGGATTAGCAGGTAGATATTAATCATAATGTGGAACCGAGGCCGAACCAAACAACGAGCGGAATAGTTATTTTAAACTGAAGTGGAACAGAATTGTAACCCAAATCAAACATTTCATTTTGAACCCAAATCAAACCTTTGATTTAGAACCCAAATCTGAACGGAACCGCAGTCTAACTTGGCGATTACCGGTTATTGGAAACGGTTCGGAGTGACGAAATGTGAGCCCCGCTTTCTTGCGGGTGGTGGCGCGAAATATATAAATATTCGCGACGGTGGCGTCAGGGGCTCAGTTTTGACTAAACAAACGGCAGCGACGACATTGAGACAGCTCAATAATATTGCAACAAATAAGCACATTTCCCGTCTATGTGCCGCATTAATTGCCGTCAGCGAGTCGGTTTAAAGGCGTACACGTCAATCATTTGTTTCACGTTTCGATTGACCGCGAAGGACGCTACGATTCACCGGAGCCAATTCATAGCTCGGAGGATGTCACGTGTTCCGGTTGGGCGGAGCGACGCGGGGAGCGAGAAGTCTCGAGACAAGCTACGATCTACGGAGAGGTCGTGTAGCTGGTACCGTCCATCGCGGTACATCGTAAGATGGAACGGACAATATCTGACAATACCGGGGATAAAGAGCTATTCTTTGAGTGTCTGTGTGTATTTTCTTTTCTTGTTTCTAAGCAAAATTCACCAGGAAAGGAGAAAGCGAACATGAACATCAATTCTAAAACAAAATGTTGACTGCCGTCGACGCGTTTGATTTGCGGAGGCGAAATCTGGAGGCGCCAAAAGGCAACGCCGTGACGAGCGCGACAACGGGGCGCCGGTCGCTGAGACGCCCCGTTGTCGCAAACTCCGCGTCCAGAGTTCTGGACACGGAGAATTTTTTTTTGTGTGTGTGTGTGTGTTTGTGCGTTTTCTAGATACAGCAAGTCGCCCGTTGTGTTTTTCAATGTCCTTGTTTGTTCAAATCGTCTTTCGACAAGTCTTTCTCCTCTTGAAGTCAGTCGCTCGGGCTAGTTCGGGCTAATCTTTCGGGCGTGTGGTGTGGGTAGTTTACCGTTTCGATTTGAATTAAGGCCCGTTCACACTCTTGCGACCGAGTACGACCGAGAGAGACCAGACCGGTTTTCTTAGTTCCGGATGCGCTGCAGCGGGGCTGGTCCTAAGAGATCGCAAGAGGCTTAAAAACCGGTCTGGTCTCTCTCGGTCGTACTCGGTCGCAAGAGTGTGAACGGGCCTTTAGCATCGTACCGGCGTACATGGCGCCCGTTAGACCCCAGGCTAGCAGTCACACTGCATTGGAGAAATTTCTCATCTGCAGTGTGTAAGAATGCGCCATACACTGGCAGACTAAACTCATGCTGACTAAATAACTGAACGACTAATTTGTTTTTGTGGGTAGTTTGCGCATAGGTGTGTGCTACCGTCTCGGTGTCACTGTGCGTGCTGGCTCATTGACTTCGTATGTGAGTACTGTACTTTGGGCTTCCAAGCGCTTGTATTACCTTTTCTTTTATATTAGAGCCCAGCTCTTAGGCGCCCGTCTCCGGCTTGAGCGGCGCCGCCGTTCCCGTCGGCGTAACCGCACGTTGCATTGTGGGACGTTTCCCATTAATGACGTTACACGTGACGTCACAAGTGACGACACGAGTATCCCGCGCGTTTCGATATGGAGAACGTCCCATGATGCAACGTGCGGGTCTCACTTGAGACTTGCGCTTCGCATTATGGGACGTTTCCCAATGACGTTACAGTGACGTCACGAGGGTCCCGTGCGTTGCATTATGGGAAAACGTCCCATGACGCAACGCGCGACTGACCCAAACGTTGCATCTCCTCTTGCCTCCTTCCCCGCCTCCTCCTCCCTCAACGATTAGCCAAATATGTGCACATCCTGACACAATAAAAGTGTGTAAAGTTTGAGCCCATTGTTGTCCATTTTCTGCTCCGCCAGTGACAGGCAGCGCGCCTCCTCCTTTTTATAGGCACCGAGAAAACAGCTCATGGCGGTGGAAAAGCGGCCGTCGTGTTTACGACCTTCTGCGATTGCTGCAGTGGATGTAGGAGTGTGTACGCGCGGCGCAGGGGGGAGTTCCGGTCGCTCCGGTCACACCAGACGTAGTCGTAGCTTGCGCTCGTTGCAAGTGTCCGAGTTACAGTTTGTGCAGTCTGGAGCTTAAAAAGAGGCTGCAGTTTCACCGCTTGCCACTCGAGGAACCACGTCGAAGCACTTGGTGCAGCCTCACCGGTTTGAAGGACTCCAGGTTTAAGGTCATCCCTGTATGCTCGGAACATTCAGTATATTGGAGTCGCCACTCCTTGTCGTCGAATTCCGCCGAGGAACTGGAGCCTTGCGCACTTTTTAACAGGGGTGCCGGCGTATGGGACCAGTTTCATGCTGTCGCTGTAGCGCAAGATATCTAACTAAATTTCGCTCTGCTGCCATGTGTCCATGGCTATCGCGGTGGTGAGAGGCGAAAATTCAGAAAATACGTCGGTGGCCTCGGCGCCATCAGCGCAGTGAAACCCGGAGGTAAAACCTACCGGCACACCGCCAGCTCACCGCTAACGCTCCCCATTCCCCTACTGCCGAGAAAACCTCCGGTTCGGGTTCCGTCGCCAGAGTACGACACTACCGTCAAACTTCTGCCGCGGCTTGTTTTGCGGTGAGTTGGAGAGGAAGAAAAACTCGGCATTTCATTATTTTCCGTGGAGAAGTTAATAAACCGAAAAGAAAACGGATGCCTTTTTCTGCGTTCCGTGAACATTCAAGATTAATGTAAAAGTTATTTGGCAAAAGTAAAAATGTAATTTCATGGTTCGTTTCATCTGCCTAGCCAGGTGTCGTCAAATCCTTACGGCTTCATGTCTTTTTCATTTTTCTTGTTTCTCCCCGCACGGCTATATTATCACGAATAAAAATAGGAAATGAATGTGAATCTGAAATAGTATATGAGGTAAACGTGTACGTACAAACGAGCGCAGTGGAGACAAAGGCTGCCTTTCTCTCCACTGCACTCATCGAATGCGTTAGAATGCGGAATGGCGGCGATGTACGTCAGTGGCTATCGCATTCGAACGCATTCGACGCGTGCAGTGGAGACAAAGGCAGGTAGCTTTAGGTCTACCCACTAATCAGTCCACCCAGAGCTCGGCGCCTCCTCTCGTCTCCTCCGCTCTCTCAGTTTCTGGGCGCATTCGCTTGCGAATAAACTGGAATGCGTTTCAGTATTTATGTAGCGCTGTCTGTTACTTCATGTATACGTGTCTCAGCCTTTAGATCACAATAAATGCAACCCTACGAAAACACTGGTCAGTTAGTTGAAGATTGTGCAGTTTATTATGTAAACATTTAAGAAATCTATGCAAGAAATAGGTTTATACAAACCTGGTTGGTAGCTAAACATACTTCAGTTACCAACCTGCCGCGTCATGGGGTACTAGCTGGCGTCCGAACGGAACTGACACTCAATACGCTACCTTGAATTTCGCGTTGATGTCTATTTACGCTCAGAGATAGCTGTAACCATACTGAAGTATACGTGCCTACTCGGGGAGACAAGCAGCTTAACGAGCAGGGAGAGTTCCTTACATCTGTGCCGCAGGTGCCCGATTTGTTCACTGAACCAATATGCAGAGCCTGCTTTAAAGATCTTGCCTAATTCTCGTTGATCTATTTATTTGACACCATTTTTCCTCACAAGCCATTCAAACCCAGAAGCAACTCTTGGGTGAGCAGTCATTCTTTACAATCGTAATATAACGATATAAAATGTGTGACTTCAATGTAGTTAGATTCAGTCTTCGTAATTCAGGGCAGCGTGGCATGGTAACAAGCGCTTTTTTTTTATTAAAAGCCAGCAAGGTCAAACAATTACCCACATTAGACATTATTAGAGGAAAGCTGAAGCGCTTTTAGAATTCAAAAATTTGAGAAAGTCTCAATTTAGGCAAGTTAAAAAAATATATATACATGTGTTTACGGTATTTTTAGTAGAAGCGACATAATCCCAAATTGAATCATCGAAGTAACTCGGCCCCTGCAGCCGCTCAAGCGAAAGATAGGAGAGGAGGAAGAAGAAAAACTATCTCAGGTGATGATGTCGGTTGTGCGAAGTAACACTTACTCGCCATTTATATATAGCTCGGAGGTGATTACGACGGCATCACGGTGCTCTAGATAGATTACAGGCGGCAAAAACGCTGGCAGCAGATCCTGTGGTGATCTATGCTCGCTTTCCGAAATGAAACGGCTTAGCTTAAATCATGTTATATTTCGCTACAGTAATCGAATCCAGGGGACAAAAACTATATCAGGCCGCTTTCAGGCGACGCGCAATGTGGCTCATTGTGTCTTCGTATCTGGGAATGTAGCAGGGTGGGAGCCTCACCATGAGGATGTCCTGAAGCGTCTGCAGCTGGGTAATCCTCGAGTGTGGGTCGTCAGACGTGAGTAGCTTGGGGTCCACACCGGTCAGGTCCTGCAACCGGGGTACCACGTCAGTGAAAGCCATTAACAAAGAGGATTGGTGAGGTGAAATGTGAGGTGAAATTTCATTAATCTAAAGTACGAAAAAAATGAAAGATCGCGATGTTGCCTCTTCAAATATTTCAATGTCACGCTTTCGTATCGTCTAAGCAATCAGCCGCTGTAACTCGGCATGCAGGAAATTCGGAAATTTCCGCAGGTTCGACTTGATTTAATATCTTCCCAGAGGCACTTCGTGTCAAGTGAAAAATAACACCTCAACAGCACGCGTATGCACAGAAATAAACGTAATTAGGCAAGTAGTAATGAAATAAAACAGTGCTCATTAAAGCACACAAATATACTGCAGATATAATTAATTATTTAGAGCCTTCGTCTATGGCCACGATAAAACAGAACTGCAATTTCATTTCAGCGATATTATTAAAGAATCGATTGATAAAAACATGCCCAAGAGCGTTTGATACCTACGATATTTTGACGGTTGACAAGGAATATGTCAAAGATTTAATGACACATTGTTTGGTTATAATATTAGGTTACGTTTGCACGAGTGCCGGCCAAGGTAGAGAAGGGTCCACCCCCAAGATTTCATTTATCGCATATACGTGAAATTTCGAGCACCAAAGCTCCTTCAAAAGAAAAACTAACGCAAATTCTACCTGTCTACAACCTATCTCTCCTTGACTGCACGACGCCATTTTTTTTTATGGAAAGCACCTGCCAACTACTTAATCAGGTGAGCGTGATGGCGAAATTGGTCAGAGTGCTTCCCTCTTTTTATTTGGTCTCTTAGCTTCATGACGCCATTTTTGAGCGCCGGCGAGGAGGAACATTTTCAACAGTGATTAATTTTACATATACCGGTAGCTGAGGTGGTAGCGAAGGCGGCAAGAGCGAGTTGAGCTTCCTGCTTGCTATGAGACGTGCCTTTCCAGCGTGAGCACTCGTTCCGCGAAAATATACCTTTCAAAGCCGTGCTGAAGTTTTCTCTGTCCTATACATATAAAAACTGGGTGAGAGGAGAAGATGGGAGGGGACGTGAGAACACCGAACTCTGGCTGGAATGATTATACTCCGTTCACCCTTGAGCTGAGACCCGAAGTTCCGCCTTCAGCACGAACTTTCTGCCCTTGCTGACGGAAGTGCGAGCGGGAAGGTACGCCCAACACTGCGAAAACCAGCGAGCTCGCGCTCAAGGCGGAGCTTCTAGTCTCAGCTTAAAGGTGATCGGAGTATAGGGAGTATTCACTGGCGGCCATAGCTGTGTGCGCGAATGCTGAGCGCGTGCTGATGGCTAGCTTCCACGGTTCTTTTGCAACGTGCATTGCGCACCATCAAGAGTGCCGGTCTTAGCAGCCTAGTAGGTGAGCTCATTCTGAGCATGCGCTCTAAACAGCACTCACAAATAGGGCGTCCAGTGAATACTCCCTATAGACGCAAAGCTAGCTGCATTCTCACTGTTCCAACGAGAATGCCGAACACGAACGTCAAACGCCAGCGTCCGTCGCTTTGTGAACGCTTACGAATATAGAGTAGAAACAAATGTAGCGAGCTTTACCCTAACAATTCGAACCATAGCTCGGTGCTCCGGGGCGGCTTGTTAGAACAGCGTGTCAGCTGAGACTGGGGGAAAGAAAACATCGCAAAAGCGGGGGCGCGTGAGCGTCTTGAGACCCGGTTTTAGTTGCGCTCATCTCGTGCGCTGGCTTTGGCAGTGCTTTCTTCCACCCAGTCTCAGCTGAGACGCTTTTTTCTAGCAAGCGTGCCCTGATGTCTCTGCGCCCTCTGATCTCCTCTCGCTTTCGATCTCTATAAACTTACGGCAAGGTCCGTAACTTGCCGTAAGCACTCTCTCCCCACGGAGTCCTTTCGCGGATATCTTAGCCGCCGGGACATAAACCGACATTCTCCAATCCCCAAGTTCCGGTGCCCTCCGCTTCATCACAATTTGGTATTATAGCAATTTCTTATAAAACATAACTTTATTTGGCAAGTTTTTTTTTTTTATTGAACGATTATAACGTTTAAAATGCAAATTGTAGTGTAAGTGTGTTCAGCTGTATGCGTATTTAGTTAAAAGATTTGTTTCCATTTTTTTTTCTTTTTTACACATCTGCTTGTTCTGTTTCTTGTCGAAAAGTGATTTTTTATTCGTAGAACGTTTCCAACACTAGTTTGTTTCCTAAAGGTATATGACAATCTTTAAAAAAAATATATTGCGATATCTCTCAACAACTAAGGAATCGTACAGGAATGGCAGCAAGTCAAGTAACAGCACGAACGAGAAAACATAAAACGGAAACTGGAGAGAAACAAGCGCAGACACACACACAGTTGTTAATAAAATACTCGCCAGTATAGTCCATCTGTTCACGAAAGTCTTTCATAGAGTAGAATCGTTTTAAGGTTGGTATGTTTCGAGCCAAGCATTGGTTGCTAGAGAAGCCGCCTCACTCGATGGTAATTCGTAATATATTTTGCATAGCCTCCTAAGAAGCGGAAAAGCCTAAGCCTTCCGCGCCAGAACAAGGTAGCCAGGTTGCGGTAAGATGGGGAGGAGGAGCGGTGGACGAGAAGGAAAGCTTCTCGAAGGCACCGCCATGCAGTGTCCTAAGGCCAAGCACTCCTCTTTTTTTTTTTGTAATTCGCGGGAGAAACGAAAAGCAAAAACGGTGGTCCACCCTTCTTTTTTGGTAGGAGGAGGAGGATGCGCTGAGGAAGTGAGAAGGGGGGAGGGGTACATCTTAAAAAGAAATGGCTTGCGAAAATAAAATAGTGAAACAGCGGAGTCTGTGGTGCGGAACATCTAAGAAACCTAAAAGTCAAAATAATAATAATAATAATAATAATACAGTAGGAGAACGTTTCTTTCTGAGACATTCTGCTTCCGTTGCCTTTTTCTTGGACTTGAAAGCTTCCAAATTTTTAATCACTGTATTCGATCTCACTAGTTGCCCGGAGCATTACCATAGGTACAGGGGCGAGCGTATGCCGCTAGCAGTTCAAGAGGAAAAAAACGAGAAACTCCGCTCTTGCTCCGACCCTCCTTTGTGTACTCGTACGTCGCCACACTCCCACCATAAGATTAGCCCGTCGCTCAAAATTCGGACAAAAGTTGCTTTCCTCTCTTCCCCACCCGTGGCTTCCGCGGAACTGCGCGCGATGATAGTCGGTGTCAGGTTAAGAACCAAGGGCGAAGAAAAGCAAGGCTGAAGAGGAGGAAGCAGATGGAATGCTGGAGAGGAGGAAGCAGATGGAATGCTCGAAAGGAGGAGGAAATCTTGCCTTCTACCAGCATTCACCTGCTTCCTCTTCCCGAGCCTTCCTTTCCCCCGCCCTGGGTTCTTTGCCTGTGACCGACTATTGTGAGATAGAGGGCAGTGAAATGGGGTTCCACGGAACTGCTGGGGTCCGCGAAGCCCTCGTCTCAACCTTTAACACCCACCACTCTCTTTTTTGTAGAAAAAAACAAAACCAAAAACAAAAATAAAAAACGTTTTTGTTGTACTGCTAGGTGGCACCAGCTAACGCCCATTATAAAGGGCACAGTCGTTACCATCTATTCATCCATTCATCATTTTACTTGATGCCTCTCAATTCTCCTGCCTATAACAGCCGAAAATGCCCTTTTCACACTGCAATTAGTTGTCTTATTTTATACACACTGCTCCCCTTTCCCTTTCCCCTTTCGCATGAGGTCCTCCAACACCTTGGTGGGTCACCAAGGAGTCCCCGATACATCCGACACATCCTGACATACCAGCTCGCCTTCACACTGTTATATTGTTAAAAAATAAGAAGGAGTTTCGGAAAGTGCCCGCAGATATTTTAGTGGCGCCAACTCCATTGTATCCCCTTTCTATCCTGTTCTGTGCTCGGTCTTTCGCAGTTTTGTCGACTGGTTTTGGCGCCGGAGACGCAGGCTTTCTGCCTAAAAGTAGGCTATGTTTTATAATGTCCTAACACAGTGGTTCTCAACCATCGATGTTTCGCGGACCCCTTGTGGATTGGCGGAGATGATGGGGGACCCCGTTCATAGTGAGGGGAAGGGAAAGCTATAGGTTAATTATGATAATGATTTGCTAAATCAATGTAACTAACGGGTACACTTCTCTCATTGGTATACACACAAGAAAACTCGCTCGAATATTGGAACGTTTCTTCTCAATCTAAAGAAATACAACTTTTATTCCCGGGCTTGACTAATGAGGCCATGGGCTTCGCGGACCCCAAGAATGCCTTTGAGGACCCCCAAAGGTCCGCTGACCCCCATCTGAGAACCACTGTCCTAACATATCGAGTCTTTTTTTGTTTCCCCAACGCTCCTTGTGCAGCTGATGTAGCAGGTCGTCACGTGAGCCAATCAAAAAATGCTCGTCGAGTTCATAATGCAATGCACTCTTTCTAGCTCGGTACAAAACCACTCACAGCCCATTCCTGCAGGAACTCGTGTCCCAGGTCGTTGGCGTCGTGCACAGTGCGGTTGTAGTCCCGTGCCACCTGATAAAGAAAATAAAATAAAACATTTTACCCGGTAAATTACTGGCGAAAGGTGCGTGGCAAAGCCAGCCTCACCTTAATGTCGTGCTTCCAGAACCGCTGCGTCCTCGGCATGCTGGCTTCTGGAGCGATCTCCTTGATCTGCGGAAAACATATAAACATTTAGACACCCCGCGCCTTTCACACCGCTTCACCTTTATTTACGTGCTGCGGTTGGCATGTACCGAAGCACACCATTAACCTAAAAAAAAACTAGGAAAATAATTAAGTTTTTGAAAAAAAAAAGAAAACGTACGGCAATTTGAAATGGGAGTAGCACGTCGAAAAAGCTACGACTCCTCCTATGCAGCTGCCATGGAGGAATAAATGTGTTGGCCTTTGGTGTCCTTTGCCAGTAGAGTTATTTGTTCACTTGCCTGTTGAGTAGATTGATATGTGCATAGTTTCCTTTATAGTTCGTTTAGCTCTTGCGATATTCAAGGCAGACCTGTGCACTCTTCTGTGTGTACTGAGTAGATCTGACGTCACACGCGTGGCATCACAATTCGACATCAAAGTATTACGGTATGTCACAGTCATGTGACCTTACGTCAAATTAAGCAGTTCCTGATAACGTAAAAGAGCATCAATTATACCCTAATGCAAGTCTGCCTGCTAAATTTAGTGAGGAAACACTTCCCCGCCAAATTTAGCTATCAAGCCGCTACAGACGAACGCACACAATATCTCGGCATGGTGGCTCTAGATACGCCTTTTTTAGTTCATTTGTATTTTCAAAGGTCAAGCCCTGAAACTCCAATAGACATGTTGTAGAACTCGCAGCGCCCTAGGCAGCGCCGCAGGCGAGCGAGTAAGTACTGGCGATGGATGACTGCAGGGTTTATGGCGCGAGAGCTACCAGGGCCAAAATACACCGAGTGCAAGACTGTTGCAGAAGCGAGGATTAAAAAGAGAACGGTACTATAGTAGCTGATGATGTAATAACACTATGAACATCAACCGTACACGAGTTATGGGTATAAATAAATGCTATGATTACACATGTTCTTTTTTTTCAGCTTAACATATTTGTTAAAAACGCCGTAAAAGCTACAATAATGCGATTTGTGAAAGAGGTGCGAGGTCAAGGGGACACAGTAGAGGGTCCTAATCGGCACGATACGCCGAATAATTAACTACAATTTGTTAATTAACTTAATTTGTGACCATAGACATATGGCTTCAATTAACAAATTGCTGAGCGTCATCGAAAACCCCTAAATCAATCGTTTTTAGGTGTGCATAAAGCGTAAAAAGTGTAGTCGTGGGCTAAAGTTACCACTAGTGCAGCAGCTATAAGGCTGGGGCTTTGACAAGGGAGGAGAAATCGCGCAGGCGCCTTATCGCACAGGTAGCCTTGCTCTTGCTGCACGAGTGGTAATTTTGAGCACTACTGAGCTTCTCACGCGCTCAAAGTCTTTCTAAAGACTACTGATTTAGTGGTTTTCGATGACTCTCAACAAGTTTCTAATTTGACCCAGGTGTCACATTGCACAGATTCCTTCTTGGCCGTCACCGGCATAGCACTACAACTAGAAGCAATAAGCGGAATCGTTCTGCCGTTATTCCACATGTTCATAATTCAGCGCGCAGGCTAAAATTGGTTGCTTCCACGTACAACATAAAAGGGGTGTTTTCCTATCGGACGCGCCTTAAGGGTACTCCGGCGATTTTTGAGCTACCTCAACTAACTGACTCCCCGGCCTTTACCCTTTCCGGTATGCTATTTAGTATCGCGAAATTCATAATAGTTATTGCAAAATCGGCAAATGAAAATCATGCGAAAACCAACATTCAAATATACCCGCACTTTTCAGTGCCGTGACGTCAGTGGCGGGCAGGCTTGCGAGTCGAGCGAGCAGTCTAAAAAAAATAGAATATGCCAATCATTCCTTCCGTGCTGGAGCGCGGGAACTGGAGCGAGCTTCCAAAGCATTGATTTGACACCATCAAACTGCTTCAAATCAGTTGGAAACAAATTCTACAGTCCAAAGAGTGAACCCCTGCACTTCTACCGACGTCACGTTTTTGTAGTTGCCAGTAGAGACTTTCAGTTTGAAAAACACGGTGAGGACCAAAATTGTAAATTGAATAACTTCGTGAAAAAAAATTATTCTGTCCTAATATTTGAGATACTATTTTGGCGATGTTGTTTGGCGAGTTTAGCGAAATTTCAAGCAAATCAGGGACCATGAAGAAATCGCCGGAGTACCCCTTTAAGCAGTTTTGCTTAAAGGGGTACTCCGGCGAGTTTTGCTTAAAGGGGAAGTCAGAAAACAATAAAGTTTCTCTAACACGATCAGTAACAGAGCGTATCTGCCTCGGAAATGCCGAGCAACCGAAACTAAAGAAACATGACGCTACCGAGATGGCTGCGCACACAGTGCTGCCAGACCACTGTAAGGACTTTCGCATGTCGTCTATTACACTGCCAAAAACAGAAGCGAAGAGGAGCTCACATTGGGGGAGAATGACACAAAGTTTGACGAGTTATTTGCAAGCAAAAATTATTTTTTCATGATTTCTTTTTAAGTATTGTTAGGCGCTTCAGAAGCGTTTGAAACGGTAACAGAAATATCCAGCTTGGGGCAATGAATGGACCTCTATGTACTATGGGAAAGATGTTTTAAAATAACTATAGCACGTTGCTTTTGCACGCATTTGGACACAATCCGTTCGTCTTGATATCAATAAAGTCAGAACACCATTCGCTTATATCACCATTGGTTAATGTAGGCAAGTTCTTCTAACTGTAAGAGATTGAACAATTCTTTCTCGATTTAGTGCGAGCGAATTTTACGAAACACAAACAGTACCCTTTTCAATAAAAAAAAAGGAAACACTGCGACCAGGCCTTTACAGTGAGGAGTAATTTCTGAGTCACGCACAAGCCCAAACTTGTACCGCGAAGTCGCCTCCACTGCAACAGTCTTTGACGCTGCTCCCCGCTGCCTCATATATATATATATTTTTTTTCAAGATTAACCACGTTTCTTGTTTTGAAAACATTCGAAGCGGCAGCTTCGAAAAGCCCGACAAATTTTCATGGGCTACGCAGCCACCGCCCCATCGCTTCCGCTGTGTCAGAAGGGCTAATGTCCACCGAGCTCAGGCAAAGACACGACTGAACCACAGAAGAGGGACGCGCCTTGACTCCGTCCGAAGGTACGGTGGAGCGCAGACGACACTCCGAGCCATCGTGGCCAAATCAACGTATCGTGAGCATCACGTGCCCTTAGCGGCGGACGTGGCGCCTGGTCACGTGACCCATTGACAGCGTAATGGCTGGTAGCATCCGCTGCGCTCCATCGTAAGGGGAGACGAAGTGAATCGTCTTCCGCGTTCGACGAGTAATCCGCCTCCCTCCGCGCGGACCCTTTTTGACCGACCTAGAAGCATTCGCCGACCGGAGAACAAAAGAAGGGCTGTTGCGCAGAGGGCGCAAGCGTACCCACGGAAACAGAGACAAAAGGAAGACCAGAGACCCACTCCGAAAGAAACCCGAGTGTCAAGGCGAATACGAGATCAGGATAGCGAAAAGGCGGATTGAGAAGAGAATGAGTGCTCTTTGAAGCCGGACGAACAATGACAACCTCGTAACACAATTCGACGCGGTAATGCGAAGGCTCGCTGCGCTAAGCCCTCCGTCGCTTGCTACTGCAATTGGTATTATTAGTGGGCGCCGGTTGCGACGTCAATAATGTGCGTAAAGAAGGCGACTCGTCGCCAACGAGCGAATAATTACCGCGAGTGCATTCATTATCGCATCTTGGTTTGACTCTGGTTGGCTAATTATTAGAGGAATGATGACTTTGCCTCGAAGAAACAGGGTGATGAAACACTGTACAGCTGACACACTTTCTTTTAAAGCGAGAAAATTCTTTTTAACGAAGTCCCTCGTCCCGGAATTTGTCCGTTGGGCCGTCCGTCCACGCATTTCGCCTCTAAATTTAGCGGGGAAATCGCCGTTACGTGAGATTAACGGGGATACGGTCCATTCGTCACATGCGCACTCGTCACAGGACGATTGGCTACCGGACGATTCGTCACACTGGAACATTTGTCATAGGATGACTCGCCACGTGGCCAACCGGTCCTACAATAGTTCGTCCCCCTAAAAATGTGTTGTTCAATTTAGTTCGGGAGGACAAGGTGCCTCACCTCATATCTATGTCTTTGGCTTCTGAAAGGCGAAGAATTTGTAACAAACGTTTTAGCTTCTGGTTCGGTCCCGAACGGTGAATGCGGAGGCCATATGAAAGCGACTTTTTTCGAACTCAGACTACATTCAAAAGGATGGAGGTGATCGCAACAGAGAGAGGTGGAGCCATGCAGCTGCACGAGGGGTACTCGTACACATGCAGCAGAAAGAATGCCGATAGTTATTGGTTTTCTCGCAGAGGTGTTTGCAAGGCAAAGTAAAAACTTATTTGGCTGCCAGTCAGATTATTGCTCGTTCAAGCCAGCAACTTAGGTCAACCTGCTGAAGAGTCGTAATATGATGAAAGGAAAAACGAATGAGTATTGTAAGATTAGTTTTTCTAACCGTTGGTTAATATCACAGTGGTAGGTCATGAAACTCCTCATCAGGGAATGTGGACAGTTGTTGAAATTTACAATTTAGTATCGTCTCCTGCCCGATCAATGTGACCAATTGCGCGCATGACGAGTCATCCTGGGACGAATGTTCCTATGTCACGAATCGTCCTGTGACCAATCATCCTGTGACGAGTGTGCATGTGACGAATCGTCCTCTGACCAATCATCCTGTGACGAGTGTGCATGTGACGAATTGTCCTCGTCCCAGATTAACGTACACGTGGCACCGTGACCTGACACCGTGACGTTGCGTCACGAGACCACGTCATCACCGTTAGGTCAGGTGAAGCGCATTTTCCCTCTAGATTTAGCGGAAAACTGATGTAACGGGTTCTCATGTCGCGTTGTCGAATCGAGATGTCATGGACTACCATCACGTAACGTGACGTGAGGTCAGGGTAAATAAATTTCCTCGTTAAGCAGTAAAAATTATAAACAATGCATTTCACTCCCTAAATTCACTCTTTAATGTCATCAACTATAAACCATCGCACCAGAGCTGA